TGTTAAATGTTGTTACTATGTGTGGTAATACGTGTATTTCGATGCGGAGCACCCAAGGCATTTAAAACTACGTTAAACATCCACATCGAAACACACATATTACCACACATAGTAACAACATTTAACACATCGTTTGGGGGAAATAATGCCTGTATAGCCCAAAATAGGATCTCGTTCAACCCTTTAGGGTAGCATCTCCGTGCCATCCTTTCTTTGTTCGCCTTTCCAACACTAAAGGCATTCAATGCAAAAAAAGGCGAAGAAATGGCATGGGAAAGGAGCTCATGTGTAACCGTTCGCAACTTCAAAAAAAACTCGTCGTGCAAATGTGGGATTACCGTAATCCGACGCGCTATTGCACCAAAATGTTCCAATTTGTTCAAATGGCGCCCATCCTGTTCGCTTTATTTCGCTTTTCTCCTTCTTCTTATGTGGAGACCGTACGTTCATCATAGCATGTTTTTCGTTTTCATTCAAAGTTGGGGGCATTTTGAACAGTCCCAGCTGCGCTCAGCGCATCATTTCGTTTTACGAGCATTCTACTTATAGCTGTGGTAAATCGACAAGTGCTACCTTTTGACCGTTTCCAAGTGCAGGATAGAGAAATTAAAGTCGCCAGGTTCTATAGTTGCCCAGAGTGTCATTTCAAAGCGGTCATTTTGATGGAAAATCATTTCCATTTCTTTTCGCTACTTTTTTCATGGAACAAGGCCCATCACAGAGTTATGCTAGGTTGCATATTTATCGTGAGCTGGTATGTTCTTCTTGAAATATTCTAACTATTCGATAGTTGTGCTTTCGATGACGTTTGAGATCAATTTCCTGTGGGTGCTAATAATTCCCCGGTAATGCGAAACCAGAAGTAATTGTCACAACTCCTTGGAACAAGCTCCTCTTGTTAATAGGTAGTTCTTTAGGGTAAATATTCGCGTATTGCCACTGCCAAAAATCGTGGTTGTTGCTTCCATGCATTCAACTTTTTTTTCCGCGCTCTCGTGTTCAATCAACATGTCATCGATACAGGAAAACTGCCCAAAACTTTTTTGTTCTGCCTGTAACGTGCGACAAATAATTGTGATAGTGCTTCGGTCGATAAGTTTTTGTGAAAAAGCGAAGGCCTTGCGAAAATCCTTTTCACAGAGTTTATTACCTGATGAACTGTTTTCGCCACGCAGCCTCATTACTCGTTCCTAGAAGCAAATCCAATTCATTTTGAACGATCTTTATAGAGACATAGCATTTGGTGGAAACTGAAGGATATTTGCAAAACTCTTTTACGATACACAATCGCTTTCTTTCCCTTTTGGACGAATTAGAATATTCACTTTAAAGCATATTTGAAATGGAAATGCATAACGCTGTTTTCCTTTCTTCATTCGTTTTGAAAAGGAGAAACTTTTGTGATTTTGAGGAGCTCATGCGGGGGCAGGACCTGAGCTTACTGCTTACTGGGTTACGGGGCAGTTGTCAACCAGACGTGCTCTCGCTGCGAGGGTCCAGGGTTATTTCACGAGGCATCTACCAGTCCAGTAGTTGAAGGGAGAAGGTAAAGGAGGAGGGATCAGAGAAGGAAGGAAGGAAAAGAAGGAGGGAGGAAGAAAAAAGGAAAGAGAGGAGAGGCTTCTCGGTTGACAAGTGCCCTGAGACGGGGGTTATGTGAACGTTCTGAAATAAATAATGTGATCTCCCGAAATGTACTTGTGCTGTCCGTAATGGGTAGATATGCACTTAGTCAACACATTCATTAATCATACCACTTTTTCAAAAACAGATTGGCGCTATCCGGATGCACTTGGGCATTTTTGGTGCAAACAGGCAGGCACGCTCTCCACGTTGTGCTATCCTGCGAGAGGGAATGGTGGAGTCTGTATTTCGGTTTCTAGAGGAGAAGATATTCGTGGTCTCCTTTGGTAAGAAAAAATATTTCGCCTAGCTGGCTTCAACTGTGTTTTCCTTGTGTTCAAATCGATATTCCCCCTCCCCCTCTAGCTTCGATCGCAATTATTTATTTGGGGAGAAATACTGAGGAAAAGATAACTTCCACAACTGGTGTGAACTGATGTTGTTGGTCCTCGGGCTACTATCCAAACTTTGCACTTAGAACAACGCGCTCCTCAAAGCTACGAAATGTCAAGGGCTCGTTCCCACACATATTTTTCAATTTTTTATCGTCTGAACAGCGTTCACGCATAGGACTGAAGTTGGACAATTTTCGCAAACATTTCCCATCACTTGGTTCTCTGCATCAGGACATAGTTTGTACGAAAAGTTCGTTTACTACGATTGTGAATGGGGATCGGACCTCTAATCATGGACCAGGATATTACAGTTGCATAGCCGGAGAAAAATATTTTACTTAGGACTATATCGCAAGGATAGACCGCCTCGAAGTGAGTGAATCACTCTTTTCTGACACACAATTTTATTACAAGCCTAGTTGAGTGCGAACCTACGCAGCGCTGCTCTCTAACGTCTCTTTCCTTACCAAGACTTGGACTGACACCCATAAAAGGAGGCTGATAAGCGTGGCTCTGCTCGGCTACATCAGCACGCACAAGGGAGGTCGTTGCAGGGCGTGCGTGAGGCTTACGGATAATCCGTTTGTGAAACGTTTTGGCTATGAGGGCTCATGCCAAGACCTACTTAAAAGTAGCTGCTTCATTTTCGCCTGCGCGACTTCAGGAACGGTAAAAACGAGTGAAAAGAGAAATTCTTCTGGAACTTCGTTTGCTGCGTCTGGCCTTTACGGCGTAAGGTCAAATGTGCCAACTTTGACCAGTTTGCTGAGTAGGGGGGGTCCTTATAAAGGGGCTATTTGAATCGAAGCGAAAAATCGCCGCAAGTGAGCTTCCAACTTGGGTCATGTGCTCAAGGGTGAACGGCTTCTTGCAATGGTTTCATCAACGATAAGAGCGCTAGCATGTCGAGCATCGGATGGCCTAGCGGATAGAGTGGAGGTTTCGCAATCGGACAGTGAGGGTGGGGTTGATGGTTCGGCTCCCCTTGCGTCGCGGCTTTTTGCATTTTCCAGATTTCGCTGTTCTCGCGCTTCCATTAGTGTCCGCGCATGAATATAACTCGAATATTTGCCATTTATGGCACATTCTGAGTAGTTGTACCTCATGAGTCAGTGCCATTCCACCGCATGAATATAACTCGGAATATTTGCCATTTATGGGCACATTCCGAGTAGCTGTACCTCATGAGTCAGTGCTATTCAACTATTTCGATTTTCACGCACCATTGAACAAGATTGTTGCTGGACGTTGATCCTCATAGGCTATACAGTGGATCTGATTGCGAATTTAGTAACTTCTGGTGTGGTGTCAATTATAGACAATTTGGGGCCACATCTTCTTTCCACTGAATTCGTTATGTACACCAATATAGGGAACGTTCACCGCTATTCTGTCGCCAAATTGCGTGGACGCCAAGAATAGGTGTTATATTTGTGATCAGGGCCACTGATTACCACTAAAAACGAATTTTCGGTCAAAACAATTGTTTTGACCTTCTTGGGTTTGCTTATTGGGTTGTCCGGGGTCCGTAGCGTCAACGATACGTCATCGCTGTTACGAAAGATGTGAGACTTCGCTCACACTGCCGACCAAATGGTCGGTCACCAACCCGAAAAAGTCAAAAAAAATTTTCGCTCAAAACTTGCTCCTAGGGGTAATCGACAGTCCTGATCACGATTCTAGACTTCATTTTCGGTTCCAGTGCCATCTGGCACCGGCATAGCGCCGAAGAGCTGAGTCTGTGCATACAAACGAATTCGAACGAAAAAGCAGTTTTGCTCCATAAAAGTAGATTGTTCAGTTTATCGTGAATGTTTTGTTAGGACCAATTATTTAGACAAACATGGATCCAAAAAATGAAAAACTGTAGAAAAGCAAAATTTTGTCCTCGGTGGGATCCGAACCATCGACCTATTTTTTACGTTTTTTTTATTCGTAGAAGCGCGCAGCGAAAATGAACCTCAGTTTTCTGGTCCTCGTATGTGCCCCTACAATATGCACAAGACCATTTTGAAAAGCTCACCACGCCCTGAACGACCTCCCTTGTCAGCAGGCACGTTGTACGTTTGAAGATCAGCGAGGAGGTTTGAGGCAGGTTTGGGGCTGGAGGATGGTGGGCAGGATGGACCTTTGTTGTACGGACCTAGACTGGCCTTGTGTTTCGCTTTCGCGGAAATTTTTTTTTTTGCTGTGCATTGTATGACTTGTTCTCAGCGTTATTCCCCTATCCAAAGCGTTTTTGACCAGTTCGGGTAGGGCGGAGAGTATCGAAAGATACTTGAACAAAGGAGAACTGAAAAGAATGGTAGGAAGTTGGAGATATTAGGGGACTGGTAAGAATAAGGGGTTGTAGTATGTAGACGTAAGAATTCCAAAGTGAGTCCCCTAGCACCCGGTATTTTAGCCGAAACTAGGCCCATATTTTTTTCCTGAAGTCTGGAGTTTAGAAAATGTCTGACGTAGTTTTTGCTTTCAGGTGTTCTGAACCAAAACTGCCCCTGCTACACTTTGGCCTAGACTTTGTATACTCAGCGGCCTGCGTAAGCTAAGGCCATGGGCCTCATACCGCTCGCTACGGTTTTTAATGGAATAATAGATATGCATCACTTTTACACAAAGTTTTTATTTTCAGACTGTCAGTTTTCAGTGCCATATAAGATATGATACAATGACATCCGCGAAGTTAAAACGGCTGTACGACGAGCTCCATCAAGTGGAAGCAGGGACACATCCGAAATATGTTGAAAGGCTGAAGCAAATCGAAGAGCTCTATGAAGAACAAAAGGAACGCGAGCAGATAGCTCACGAGGTATGCCAATGACTAGCAGTCTTTGCTTTGCGCGAATTCACTTCACCAGTTTGATCATATCATGTTGAATCATCGAGACTAAGCTTGCACCGCTAACGTATTGAAGGTGGGAGGAGGGGGGAACAGCGAGTAGTGCAAGCGACAGGGGTACCATGCATCGTGTGTGGAAACACAATGGGGGGGGGGTGTACCGGCGACATCCCCCCTCGCCGGATACCGGACAAAAAATTTTTGGGTGAAAAAGTGGAAAACGTGGGAAATTTTGGAAAAACTAGCAGGAAGCTGGGAACAATTTTGGATAAACTGGCCAGGAAGCTGGGAAGTTGTAGGAAGTGGCATAGTAGCGTTCGGAAAGGACGGGTCGTACGAGACCGTTCTTTCGGGGGGGGGGGTCGTACTGACACCATCACTTCACACATCACGATGCTGTACCTGTGCAGCGATGCTGCTAAGGCTACTCGCATTCAGATTGGTAATCAGGTCTTCGAAGAGAAGGGTCGGTATTTCACCTGAGAAGTTTTCTTTATAGTCCTCCCTTCTGCTTTTTTCGCAATACACCATGTTGGGAAGCCCCTACTAGGGCATATCGCATCTTATCGTCGCAGGGGGAAGGATCGTATTCTGCAAACATTCTCTATAGCGGCAGTAGTGCTTGATTCTTGGTAATAAACTTCGCAGTAACTTGCGTTCTCGCAAGTAAGCTGGGGGGACAGGTGACCACGCTACGAGGCTACTCGTGTGAGTCTTGCCATCGAGACAGAAAAGATTATAGGTTGCCAGTATTTGGTTGTTTACTGTGATCTATCAGACGTGAAATCAAATGCGTCGATCACGTGAAGGCGCGCAACACCTTTCGCTTCACACAGTTTGATGCGAACTGAGTGATGCAGTATTTTTTACACGATGCAGGCTATCAGTGGCGGTTAACATTGCATTCCGCTCACTTCAAGCCTCACTCTGGAGCCAGTCGACATATGGTGGTTACCGCATAGCGCATTGACTTTTTGATCTCGCGATCGTTCTCGAACAAAGTGTTGCCTTTACTCCTCTAGGTTCAATCCTAGAAGAGCGCAGATGACGAGAGATCCTGCGGCTTGATCTCACCACGTACCCTCTACAACTACTCCAGCGTTATTGACTTTTCTCTTGGAGCAACTATAGCTTTTTATTTTTAGCTTGCTCTCGAAAGAATAGACTACGAGTATAAGCGACGGAAGCAACAAACGCAAGATGAACTGGAGAAGAAGGAGAAAGAACTTATTCAATCGATGCTGGCCGTAAGTAGCCTATCGCTTCCGTTGTCTGAGTATAAGATGAACAAAATGGCTGAAAACATTCTATTTAGGACTTAGATGAGATGGAAAAACGGATAGAATGGGAGTATACGAACATGGATGTGTCACGTACCGGAAGTGTCAATATCGTGGATTCCACGAAGAAGACACTACGCGGGTGAGTTTATGTATCGGTTTAATTGTTTAATAGGCCACGCTTTCGCGGTCTGTACTCGTACTGAATGTCAAAATTTAGCGAGCATTTGCCCTTTCGCTCTACTAGGAGGTTTCCATCTGCTCTGAGTAGCTTTAGAACACCTGCGTTACAGTCTGGGAGCTCACCCGCTCCTCTGCCACCTCACCAGGTTAATCAGAAGTGTCAGTGGTGCAGCATGTCGAATGATTTAGATACGAAGTACACTGCATTCTGCGCGGCGATGCCGCGATTCGGATTCTCCTGAACTGCGCTTTATCCTTTCAGCTGTCGTTCGATTCTGAACTTTCCTGTCAGTTGTGCTTGCCGAGCATCCGAAAAGTTTTAACTTTTCAAGGAAGGCTTAATCATTTCAACAGCCTAGGGAGAGCAGTTCGGCATAGTGGGGGCATTTTGTGTAGGTTCGCATCTGCCGGTGTCTCCTGTGGATCTGCCCATGTTCATAAAGCTGTGCAATATCAAGAGCTTCCTTACATTCGGCACCGGGTTTCCAAAATCATACAAAAGGGCGAGACTTGTAACTTGGCAGCAGACTAGCAAAAAATATCGGCAAAAGGGCAGAATGCTCCTTCGCTCCCACCAACTAAACCGAACAGTGCCAGCTAGGAGCTCTCTTAACCTGATCATGACTGCATTACAAAAACATATTTTGTTTTCCAGTCGTGGCGGGGTGCTGATCGAACCACCGACGTATTTCAATGCAACGCCGAAACCGACCACACCGAATATCACGCCTGACACTAGATATCTTCTGACGGATTCTCAAATTGCTGAGGACGTGCGAGCTTTCACAGGAGGCCAAAGTAGTCCTCAAAAGGTGACGAATTTCTTTTCTGCCAAAGTTAGTGATCTGCCGCGCTGCTCATTTTTATCTACGGCAGTATTGTTTTTGGAAATGTACAGCTGCTTTTTTGTTTTGAAGGCAGCTGTAGGCGGTTAGGGAGGGCCATTTGTGGGGTCTGGACCGTGCACACCTTGGTCGTTTGTGCTTTCTACAGACTTGTTCGACGCATATGTTGAAGCTTGCCAGGGTGCTGGATTTGGCGCAGCGCCAACCCGGTCACCACTATTTGTTGAAGCGAGCAAGCGGCAAAAAATGATGGAAAACTGGCTGGCGTTCCGCCAAAGCTAGCCCCTTGACCCATCCCACATCCGCGAACAAGACCGTAAGTCCAAGCCTGTTGGGTAGTGAGCCACGTCTGTGGAAAGGGCGCAAACGAATAGAGTTAGTCGCGCTGTGCGTGCCACCATCCCCAACTGTTTGCCTCGACAGTTTTTTTGCAGTATTTCAATTTTTTTTTAAATTCGAGTCTGTCATCCACGTGTCCAGAGCACATGATCCAGGTGTTTGAAGGAGAAGGCAGAGAAAAATCCTTTGATTTAAATATTTCTTTTTGGGTAGCTGTAGTTGAGGGGGGGGAGGTCGCGCGGCATTTGTTTCGTCGAGAAAACAGTGTATAACTTGGACGTCTAGAGACTCTCACCGCGAGACGGTGAGAGTCTCGCCGTTCAAGCGCGTTCATACTTCGCGATTCTATGCTCCAACGATCCTGTCGCGCGACCTAGACGATCCGCGGAGTATGAATACGCTCTTAGTCTCGTCGTGTGGTCCTGAAGCCTACAGCAGCCCCCTCCTCTCGTTTGACTGCTATAGAATTGATGTAAATATGTTAATTGCAGAACCAGCGATTGTTTTGAAGTGATTCTAGTCAAGCAGAAACCTCACCTGCATGATGGGAAAGTGTTAGTTGTTCTCTTCTATTTCCATATGCTCTATGATGTTGTTTCACAAAATTTCCTCAAAATTGATCGTTTTTCTCCTTTTCAGCTACAAACAAGGCGAAGAAGTGCACGTGGAGAATACAGAATATGGGAAGTTCCCAGCAAAGATGGACTGTATTACGGATACTGTAGTGTCATTCAAATCAACGTTGCCTTGGGATACAAGGCAAATTCATGCTTCATACTCGGATTTGACTGAAGGACGGGTGCAAATATCAAAGAAAAGAAGTAACTAACACTGATTCTCATTCGATTCTTACCCATAATTTATTGCTCACATCTATTTCATCTTTTAATGCTCAGTCAAATTGCATTTGAAAGAAACATGGTAACTAGGTTGCTAAATTGTTAAAATGAGAGATTAACTTGCAATATTTGTGAATGTGTCAATCCTGCCTCAGTAACATCAGGTACTTGTTTTTCTTTTCAATACTTGAGGAGTAGGCACAAGGTAAATAAAAAGTGTTTTATTATAATTTATCATGCCTATCGTGCGATACTATCAACGTTACTGACAGAGACCAACTCCACATGGTGGCGATCATCATAATAATCACATTGAAAAAAACAAATTGTAACAGCTTTCAGAAGGCTGCTTCCTTCTAGGCAACAATGGAATCATAGGCAATATACAAAGTTAAAGAAAACCAAGATGTTTCCAGCATCGTTCATCTTTGCGATTGGAATATTCAGTCGCGCACCAGTGGCTCGGCTTTCACACGCTTCAACATGCCTAATTCCCATATTCAGACTAAGAGACGCCCTACTTTGGGAATCCATCCGCGCGATTTGGGTTGGTTCTGAGGTTTGGTGGATGAAGGATGCGAGGTCTTTTGAGAAAAATGTCAGCTGTTGACATTACTCTGCTGTGATTATGTCGCCATCCAGTTGCCCCCCCCCCCAACCTCCACGTGTATCTGGGAAACGTTGTGGGGATATCGAAAGAAATGGTAAGAGCGCTAAAGGTAGAGGTGAGATTAGAGGTGATAGGTAAGAATAGGAAAGGGGTCGGCACAGAGGAGGGGAGGGAAGCGGTCGTTTTGCAAAAACTCCCCCCCCCCAGTGGGCGCATGATTTGTTTAAAATAAAATCATTTCCGCGGTGCTACTATGTATATAACCTTAAAAGGATAAAAGTGTCAATCAGTTCCGCTTTGGGAATGTGTGCACGCCATCTTATTCACTTTCAGAACGTAGTGAGGACTGGGGGAATGAATGCGATGAGGCCAATACAGTGTGCGGGGCCAGACGATGTACAAGTCCGTTTTCTTATCTTCCCAGATTAATCTGGTACCAATTCACCGTCATTGTAGGGTGGAAGGCACGGTTGGCCTGAGTGGGGCTGAGCGGGAACTAGACTCTGAACGCGGCGTGTGATGGTAAGCTGCCACTTGTCAAATTACAACAGCCACTCACAACGGTTCAGATATGAAGTCTAGAGAAAAAAAATAATGAGAAAACTCGAGAAAGTGATGACATCATTAGCAGTTGTAGTGGTCCAAGGATTAGCGATAGAGCACTCTTGATCGTTGAGTTCGCTTGATTCAAAATTGTCTGAGTCACGAAGTATGAACGCAACCTAACACTAATCCACTACGTCATGAGCAATCTTCCTGAGTTCAAGAGAATACAATCCTAACAAAGAACTAAACTAGAGCCTAAAAATTTACAACCTTTGCACCTAGAGGTTCAAATCGTCAACAAAGAAGTCAATGTCCAAAACTGCAAGTGCAATGAAGGACGAACGGAGAAATAAAGGGTCAAATAGTCAAAATTGGGAAAATAACAACTAAATAATGACAAATAACTTTAACAAGCCTATGGTACTAATGGAGGTTCATGCAAATTTTTCTTCTTCTTATCTGGACGTACCCAATAAGATAGCGCTAGCACAGTTTCGTAGGCTCCGAAGAAAACGAAACCGCCTGCTGTCATCCACAGAACACGTGGTACGATACCAGAAAACAGTGATGGGAAGCCACGAGTGGTATATATCTGAAAAAAAATATCCCTTTCTATTGTAAATATTCAAGTATAAGTTTCAATGAAAAACAGCTGTAGTTGTCACCTCATTGAGAGTCTTCAATATGGTTGGAGCTTTTTCCGATTTTGAAAGCATAATCCGAGTTTTTGCTACATCAAGAGGGGTGGTCAGTGCGGCAGCAAATGCTCCTGCTATGCTTCCACAGGCAGCACCTTCAGTGGTGACACAGTCAAGCCCCGCTAAGAAGAAAACTAGAGCTGCTACTAGAAGAGAGAGTAGGTGTGAAAGACGTTGACTAGTCAGTAAAATCAAATTAGTACATACTACAAAGTTAAACGAAAGAGCTCATAATGGCACACGCCACGTTCAAAAATGGCGATTTTTGCGGCTCAAATGCCAATGGCAAGACGCCAAATAGCATCAAGAATGCGAGGGAAAAAAGCCCTTGAATTCCGCCCAAAGTGCCTCTTATAGAACCCCATGCTGGACCAGTTGAAAACGAAAGCTGGGTGTCACCGTGGCCTGGGGTGGAGTCGTCGTTCCATCGCCGAAGCGGAGGAGGGAGGTCTCTTCCTTATGTCTATTTTGAACTGTGAAAGCAGTCCATCTCAATGTACTGAACAAGCAGGACATACGCAATGTCAGGGGAAGGCAGCTGAACATCAAATGAACGCGGATGTGTCTTTAAGCTTTAGCCAGGAATGTGCTATCCTAAATCCCACTTCTGCGGTAATCTATGGAGCAGGGTACGTCATATCGTGATCCCATCAGGGGGTCGCATTTGGATTCGACAGAAATTTTCTGACTGTTGACTTTCACTGCACGCACAGGAATTCCGGAAACTCAGAGGCACGCCCCGCATTTAAAAATGGAAAGCTGTGTGCCTCAAGTACCAACGAAAAGATGGGCGAAAGCGAAAAGGGGGCGTAGTGGACGAGTTTCCACTTCGTATCAGCTTTTTCCCCTCATCACCTCAAATTCACTATTCGAAATGGAGGAAGCTAATAGCGGAACAACGCACTACCAGGGAGCCTGTAGAAGGGAAAGTTGGGCTTTGCGAGGACCAGTGGGCGGTGGCTTCGCCGTGGAATACGCACAATTAGATTGTGTGCGCATCGATTCGGTAAGTCTGACGGCTGGAGGATCGGTGAAATCGGCGAAGATCGAATGTTGTTTGTTCAGCCCCGCCCCTTACGCGTTTGGGGATGAGGTTTACCATGCGTATACCTTTCGCCCATTTCAGACTTGCCGACCAGTCAAATTTGCTAAGTGTAAACACGACCTTGAAGAACTAACAAACCTTTTTCGAAGCGACCGTTTTCTTGAGGAACTCGTAGAGGGGGAACTCTATGATAGAGAACGGAATCTCTCGCGTCACCGTACTCAAGTATCCCCTATAAAAACCAGGAAGCCGACTGGTGTTGTATATTTCTCGACATACTCGCGAAAGGCTCTGCTTGGGTGTCCCTGATGCCTAAACACTGTAAGACAGCAATAGAGAGCGAAATCGAAGAGATCTGGGCAAACCTACCTGTAATCGCTGTTTAACAAGCTCTGTTGGCACACGGATAGCACACGCTATGGTCTCTGCCACACTAGCAGAAAAGGCGTGAACAAAAGCTGCTAAACAGAGAAATCTCAGAATAAGATAACCTGGTAAGAACAAAGAGCTCTCACAGGCACGTGTACGATCATCTGAAAAGTTGACGCCCCCTTCCTATATAACTCGGGAAACTCGTCCAACACTCAAAAATACACGACTTTTCAGGCGTTTTCAGCAGTCTGTTCTGCTGTTCTCTTCGCAGATGTGCCAGTTTAGAACCTACTGCCTCATATTTGAACAGCACGCCAACATCTTAGCATCGTACACTGTGCCCTTAAGTAACGCCACCCACTTTCCTCTTTGAAAAATCCGTTTATGGTTCTGTAGCTCATGAAGAATAGTGCAGCTCCAGGAGCTGATCCTATAGCGACTGAACCCATTCCGCTGAATAGATAAGTAACCATATGGTTCGGTACAACAGAAAGTGGTAAGTTACCTATAAATATTCCGGAATCCACCGGCGGCTATGAAGCCTTGTTTGCTTTGCAAACGAGTTTTTATTGTATCTAAGGGATAAAGTCCTAAATCGACTGCTAAACCAGCGCCAGCACCACATATCAACCATCGGGGAATGTCCTCATTCATAGGACCCTTAAAAAAACAAAAAAATTTCAGTTTTGATTGAAAAGCACCAGAGGTTGTTGTAATGATTGATAAGAAAAAAAAACAAAATTTTCAATCGGTCGAGAAGGAAGATGCATAGGGCCACATTCGTCGAGTCTCAATCGAGCTCACTGAGCTAAAGATCAAACAGCCCCGGGGTCCACCCAATATAGGTAGGTATTTTGGCACAAAAGTGATTGGCCCCAACTATCAAAAGTGGACTGATGCTGACGTCTACTGGCGGTCAATGGATTCCATATCGGTTCTCTCAAGAATGATCCACCTTCAAAGCGTTCCTTCTCCCTTTTGGATCCCAGTCGCGTTCATACTTCGCGACTGACGTGATTCCATCGCGCGACTGCGACCGACCGCGCTTCACCACCAATCGTTAGGCCGCGGACTTCGCGACGGCAGCGCTTCGGTCGCGCGTTCGACGCGATCGATGCGCATACTTCCGAAGCGCTGCCGTCGCGAAGTCTGAACACTGCCTTAGACCGTTGCCAGACTCGGTAGAAGTTCCTTCTCAAAGCGATTGAAGTGGCACTCGCAGCTGTCCAACTTAGCGATGTAGCAAAATTTGTCGAGGCCGCACAACTCTCGCGTGACTGCATCGCGAAGTATGAACATGGCTTAAGCTCTTTGAAACCCTTCAACTATTGGATCCATTCTCCTGTACACTGAACAGCTTCAGAGGCATATTCCCACGCTAACCGTATTGTACTCAGAGTATTCATACCGCTCTTCCTGGCACTTTCCCTTCCTTTTCCAAGAAATAGGAATCTTCAGCGTGTCAAGAGGCTACAAATTTTTTTGCTTGCGCCCGAATCATTGAGGAATGAGCCGGTCTAGTAAGATTATATGAGTCCGTACAGCAAAAATGAACGAGGTACGAAAGGCTCAACACAACAGAAAATATTTGGTTCTAAAATCTACTGCCGCGAGGAATTCTCCGAAATGTCC